TATTTCTGACTATTGCCGATAATTCTCTTTCAATGTGGAAAAAGTTCTCCATATATTCATTCCATCTCTGAAGTATTTTCTCTTTCTCTAATATCAGCGTTCATCCTTGGAGTTTATGCAGCCTGTTGATGAGCATGTCTTTTGTACTGTTAGTTCTCTTATTTTTTATGCATATCTCCTTTATCTGTGATACTTATTCTTTCCGTTTCTACACATTTTTCATTGAGCCATTTTAAATTAGCTTGCCTGAATTTGTTCCTTATTTCATGGTGTAATTTTCATATTCTGTTCCTTGTCTATGCATTGCTTTCTGTCCTCTTGGCATCATGTCCAGAAATCTGTCATGTGATCTATTCGTTTTTCTTCTTCGTCCATTCTTCTTTGGTATGACATCGTTTGCTGATGTCATTAAAGTTTCATCTAGTGTGTCCCATTTTGAGTATCCATTTCCATTTTGTCCCTCATATCTTTCACACTGTCCATTTTTTCCTCCAGTTCCGGGTCGTTCAGGATTTTGCTGTATGTCAATTTGGGTCTTTCGTTAGTCTTCTTCATTTTCCGTAGTTTCATTCTTCGTTTACATACAACAGGTCGCTTTTCCCGTCGACACTAGGATAAGTTTTGCAATGAACAACTCTATTCCTGTATCTTTTATCCTGCCAGAGAGCTTAAATTTTAAAGCTTAATTTTACATGTGAATATATATATACGATACGTATATTAGCTGCGCGTAGCTAATATATGGGTGGAAAGAGGGACTGAAGCTTCGAGTTCAAGTTCCGGCCTAGGCAAATGCGTTCGCTTTCGCGGAAATAGACTTAGAATATTATAAATCCATCTCTCCTCACTTAATGTTCAGAATCAGTATTAAAATCGTTCTTTTTTCGTTGTAAAACCACTATGATTATTTCAAGCATTAATGAACGTATGCTTTAAAGAGAAAAATCTACTCTTGTCGACGTCTCTCTTTTTCATGTGAGATTGATGAAGGTCTTACCTACACGTATTCCAGGAAGAAAAATATTCACATTGAAAAAGAGAAAGTTTATAATGGCCAATACTTTGTTTCTAAAATAATTTTCTCTGCAACTTTATTCCACATATACCATTACAGACAATATTTAGTTGTTAAGAAATTTATTCGTTAAATCGAAACATTTTAAAGTAAATTTCACCAAACTGATATTGAAACTTAACCTCTTGGATTATTCATACAAGTGTTGCATTTGCAGGAGAAAGAAAACATTACATTACGTAATAACACCTTAAGTGAAAACTATTAATTATAACTAACTCGGATCTTCCTCCGCAATATAAGTGTAATCATTTTTTCGTCTCAAATTCACCGAAATTTTCAACTTTAATTTATAAAATCATAATTTGATTGAAATTAATAGTATACTACCCTGTGGATTATTAGCTCATCTAATATTCTATTTTCATTCATTACTATTACCAGTAACGAATGTTTCAAACTTAGACAATAGCACGCGTGAATAAACAGCATTTTTAATCTCAGGTTTATAAAAAATTCTCCGCTAAGAAATGAATCGGAAACTACTGTTTCTTTGTATTACTTTTGATTTGAGGGAGAATTTTGCATAATGGTATTACTATGTATGACTACATATCTAAATAACTGATTTAAGAAATTCTACAAACCGTAAAAAACGGATCGATTTTTCGCATGAACATCATTACAAAAAATAAAAATAAACACAAAAACAAAAGCTGACACACAAAATTTTATTTAAAAAGTCTTACATGAGTTCTGTACCTTTATTCGACTTAAATAAGCTTAAATCATAACGCGGTTACTTCCCTTGAGTCATCCGCATATTTTCAAAACGATTTTTACGAAGCTTTGCTGAATTCATGTTTTATATATATATATATATATATATATGTATTTTAATGATTTTTTGTCGGTTTTTAAATAAAGGTACCGATACTAGACCAATTTCTAAATTTTTGCCTTTTTTTCTTTTTAGCATAAAAACAAACTATATCGCGAATACAATGAACAGATAAGATCAAAAGTCGTGAAAACCTTCCATCTGATTAATCAACGATATAAATATATTCGAATTTTTGCGATTGTATGCGAGAATTTAAAGAATACAGATCTAATTCCGTGAACGCGCTTATGTACATTCAATAAGGAATTATGCATTTACATAAATAGTGTGAGGAATGCAAAATTCATTGCTTACATCACTAACTTACTCAGTATCTATCGATCTATCTATCTATTTCATTTTCTGTTAACCTCAGATTCTTTCTTTTTTTGTTTATCCCAGACTATTCACTTCTCTCTCTTTAAGAGGTTAATTTTCTATGACATTTTCTTTCTTTTTTTTAAATTTTATCTCGGACGATTCTTTTCACTATCAGAGTTTATTAATGTCTATCCGTGTGCGCGTGTATGTTATAAATTTGAATCCAAGCACTACACGCACACACATACATACATACATACATATGTGTGTGTGTGTGTGTGTGCGTGTTTTGAAGAACCAGTAACAGATAGCAATGAAGGCTTACGGGTACACCACGTTGAAATAACACTTACCGTACGATCGCTGAAGATAAGCAACGTCAAGCCTGGCCAGTACCTAGATGGGTTACCGTTTGGGAATACCAGGTGCTGTAAGTTTGGAATTGTTAATCGGAGAGCTGATTTCTAATTCCAGCTGGGTTCGTTATTCTTCAGTCGTTATATTCATTTATGCACAAATACCATTGCGAAAGGTATAGATCCATCTTTTCTCCCCACAGCTTTGTATCATTAAATCATTATTATATTACCATCAAAAATTCTTACAATCTAAAAATTATTTCTCGACTTTAAATAACCTGCAAGGGTTGATAAACCGTAGAAAACGAATTAATAAAAACAAACAGAAAGCCATAATGAAGAAAATGAAGACAAAGGTGTTCAGTACAAAAGTGAGTTCAGAAGTTGATAATTTATTTACCCAGCTAAGTTGTATGATATAACAAGTGTAACAAACGGTGGTAAATAATAACATTGAGGAAGCATGCATCTGACTGCACACACACATATATATATATATATATATATATATATATATATTTATTTTATAGACAAAAACAATTTTACTCACTACAAAGATGCAACTTGGTTTCAGTGCATTTTAACTGCACTTGAACGGGTGAGAATCGAAAATGGTTATGAACAATCCTGCTTGTAAAACGTCACTTCCTTTTTTCCTTTGTAGTGAGTAAAATGGTTTTGTCTATATGATAAAATTATAATAACTAAACAATAATCGCTTTACTATCGGTATCGAGCCCTCTTTTTTATTAATGCTGTGAACGTTGGAATATATTACTTTCGTTCTCATCGCATTGATATATATATATATATATATATATATATATATATATATATGTATATATGATATATATATATATATAGATAGATAGATAGATAGATAGAGGGTAGACATATTAAACAGTAGAGAAGCCGCAAACGTTTTTGGTTTTTAACGTGGATTTTTTAATATATATTATACTTAATTTCCATATCTTTGCTACACGTATTTCGGGTCTTGCGACCTTTATCAGGCGAAGAGTGTTACATTTTCTACAAGTCTAAGAAAATTTGGATTAATACTACAACCAAAAAGAAAATGGTTAAACATCAGAAAACATAAGGAAAATTAATTCCTTTAAATAATATGTGGAAATAACTACTCTTCACCTGAAGAAGGTTGCAAGACCCGAAACCCGAGTAGCAAAAAAATATGGAAAATAAAGTATATGTACTTAAAAATCCATTTTAACCAAAATCCTTTGCGGCTTCCTCTACTCTTTAAAATGTACACTTTTCTCTCGTTGGAACAATTATAACCTCTCAGGCTGATGGTCACAATTCGCATTGTTTAAAAACAAAAAGGCATCTACCTAAACATGTGTTTCCACTAAAAAATAAATTCTAGATTATCGTACATACACACACACATACAATCATCATCATCACCAGGGTAGCTAGAAACAATTGCTGCTTTGACGATTGTGTTTAGCATGAAACAGTCTGTCGCCTCTGAGTGCTGACTTCAGTGTTCACTTTTATATATATATATATATATATATATATATATATATATATGTGTGTGTGTGTGTGTGTGTGTGGGTGTGTGTGTATGTGTCCCTCTCTCTTTCTTTCTCTTTATATATATATGTGTGTGTGTGTGTGTGTATCTATCTATGCTCATATCTATTTTCAGGTATAATTATACAAAAACAGCAGATTAAAGTTGAAAACCAAAATAAAAGCATTAACTTTTATCCATTTCTGATTTCTAGTATTTATTTTCTCATATTCCTGTTGCTTTTCATCACCATTTTTGGCCATAATTCGACAGACGTTATTTCTTTTAGCAGCATGTGTCAAAAATAAATGACAAGCCTCCAGCGATTTATTCGTCAAAAATTAACAATCATTGACAATGCCTCATCTTATAATGAATTCACGATAACGCTTTATACCACTAGGGATATTTACCGTTTATCAAAAACGAATTAATTAAAACATATAATGTCTTCAGTACTTATAGGCAAATAGAATGTGTCATTGATTTTGTAGTTAATTTTTTCTCGTCCTTTAGAAGACACTTTAACAGGACTATTTTTTACGCTGTAAGTATAAATGTAGTTAAACTATGTTGTATACTAACGCTGTAGACTTCCATGTGGAGTATATGACCATAGCCTCACAACGTTAGCTGTTGCTGTTGTTGTTTTCAGGATGAAGGTTCTAGCCTCACACCAACCGATTTTTTTTATTCGCTCTAGAATGGTTACTAACCTCACTTAGTATTTTCTATTGCTAATCGCTAGTTGGGGTGGCGGAGTAAAAATTGATTCATACATTTCCAAAGTGAAAGCAACCGCATCAGCTACAATTTGAAATCGGCACGTCGATAACCACTGCAATATGCGGACATACATAAACAATTACATTTTAAAAACAGAAACATTTTCACTTTTCCTATTCCTATCAATTTATCAATTTATCTATCCCTGTTCCTATCAATCAATCTATTTCGCTTTCTCTCTCTATTTTCCTTCCTTCCTATCTATCTATTTTCCTTCCTATCTATTTTCCCTTCCTTCCTATCTATCTATCTATTTTCCTTCCTTCCTTCTCTATTTTTCCTTCCTATTTTCCTTCCTTCCTTCCTTCCTTCCTTCCTATCTATCTATCTATTTTCCTTCCTTCCTATCTATCTATTTTCCTTCCTTCCTTCCTATCTATTTTCCTTCCTATTTTCCTTCCTTCCTTCCTTCCTTCCTATCTATCTATCTATTTTCCTTCCTTCCTATCTATTTTCCTTCCTTCCTTCCTATCTATCTATTTTCCTTCCTATCTATCTATTTTCCTTCCTTCCTTCCTATCTATCTATTTTCCTTCCTTCCTTCCTATCTATCTATCTATCTATCTATCAATCACAGTTCGTCCATTATTGTTGTGGTAATGATCCACCTAATTTACATAGTGGAGTACCGACCATATAAATATGGTTGGTACCGGGAAGACGGGGAGGAAGAAGAGATCCAATCCAGAGACTCTGCCCGATCATGATTAAGTCAACCCATTCTACAGGAACGGTCTTCCCAAGAATATACCAAACTATTTGTAAATATTGTGTACACGTTCTTGTGTCAATACATTTTTTTAAGTACATTTTGAGTTGTATTATTATTATTATTCCATGCTTTATTTAAGTTTCAACAATTATCTATCCCTTATTATTATTATTATTATTATTCATGCAAGCAAGTCCTGTAAGTATATACAGAGGCTACAGATTCACCGTTGTAGGTGTTTCTCTTGCGTTTTGTTTACGATGTGAAATATTTAGCCATAAGTATAGTTTTGAATCTAGAATTTTCCATCTCCTAGACTGGTTGGCAAACCAAACCATATTTAGAAATTTACTTCCATATTTTCCTTAGACCTTCTGACTTTCTGAAACTACTATCGATGTTGTAATGCTGATTTATAAGAACACGGATCTAAAGTACTTTAAATATTTTAAACAGTCTTCATTAAAATAAAAATCAAAGTATCATTTCGTGTAGGAAATTCCGTTTTGAATACTTTTTCATAATTGAAAGATCTATTAGTCGAATTAAAACAATTGTTGCGCATGTGTCGCATTACTTTCCGGGGTTTTTATACAAGAACTTTAAATCCTAGATTTTAAAATACAATAACTTTCATTCATTGATCATTATCATAGTTTAAGCTTATTTTAAAATTAAAGTTACAAACATTAAACACCTTAAATATTAATAGAGAAATTATTTTCCTGAATTTGTCAAAAACAAATATTCTTGATTATGACCAGAGTTTGGTTGAGAACCTTCCGACCGGAACCTCTGAAGAATTTTTAGGAAAACCAGGGAAAAAGACTACAAACCGGAAGTGTTCTGTGTTTTTATTAGATGCAATTCATAATATGTTAAGGTTGATGGAAGGTCTATGGTAACTAGGGAACAGATAAAATCAATGCATGCAGTTCTGGATATTTTTAAATATGTCTATATTTCAAGGACACAGTGGATAAAGGCGTTAGTTACATCCAGTGACAGGACCCAAAGAGTGTGACTTCAATATCTTGGTTAAGGCGGCAGAGAACTTGCAGAACGGAGTTAACAGGAGATAACTGACATCCATTAGACATGGCACGTAGAAATAGAACAGTCTATCCCAACAAGCGAAATAAATGGTTCAGTTCGACATTCTAACCACTTGAAGAAGGCCGGAGTGTACAACGACCGAAACGTTATGATAAATATGGCAACAAAGATGAGGACAATATTCCGAATATTGTAAATAGTGTATTTTTTTTAATATAGATAATATTAAACAGGACTAAGCTTAATTAAGCTTAAAGTCGCAGTAACGAGGTAGTAAGTGCACATACGAGAACTGGACTAAGTGCACTTACAAGCTGGTAAGAAAGACGTGCTAACTAACGAGGTATTAGGATTTAAGTATTATTAAGTATTAAAATTTGATTTGCTTTTAAGCTTATCAACCTTTACAGGTTATTTAAAGACATAAAATATTTTTACATTTTAAGAATTTTTTTTTTTTTAATAATAATGATTTACTGATACGAGTCATTATTAATCCATAGTTATGGTGAGAAGACTTTACCAAAGTTACTTGCACGTAAGTGAATATAATGATCCCAACTGGAATTGGAACTCAGTCCTTCGAATTATAATTCTAAGCCGTTATTGATTATATTATCCGCAAATCCAAGCTTACATAACCTGGTATTTTAAAGCGGTTACCCATCTAGGTACTGACCAGTTTCAACGTTGTTTAACTTCGGTGATTATATGAGAACCGATGTTTCAAGTCATAAGCTCAAAAATTATTAAGTAACAGGACAATCTCGCTAGAAAGGAAGAAAAATGTTCTTAACTCTTATGTAATATCGATCCTCCTATATGGCAGTGAATGCTTGGCAAACGCATCACAAATAAAGAGGCAACAGAAATGTGGTTTTACGGAAGAATGCTGAGAATACCATGGACTGAACATGTGAACAATTGTGAAGTTTTAGAGAAAGTAGAGACAAAAAGGACACTTGAAAGTTAAGAGCGCATAATGAGGAAAGTGGGCTTCGTAAATCTGTCACTCACAGGTCGTATTAAGTCGTATTTTGAGGAAATAGCAAATAACATACCTAAAAAGCTGATAGAACCGAGATAAGGAGAGATAACAAAAATACAGAGAACAAGGTGGGGAGAGCCATGATTACCCACGTCCTGAAAGGAAACGGCATGATGATGAAGAAGAACTGTGAATGCGAATCTAACGTTATCCCGTCACGTTTATATTATTAAGCATTTTACTGATTTGGCTATGTTTATTTTAGGAATCGCTTCAGGAATACACTTAAGTAAAATGGAAACAACTTCTACGGTGAAAATCCCCAAAGTTTTCACATTTTGAACAGGATCTCTGTCTCCAATTAGTCATGCACTTCTTTCTATACTTTCTGTGCCTACTTACCTTTTCTTTTCTTTTTCTACAGAATGGGAATGTTAACAGTTGTTTCCCTACAAGGAAACTTAGTATTTGGAAATGTTTAGGAGATAAAGACTGTTGTATTGTTCCACGACACATGACCAGTAGTCAATTTCTTACCTATCTCTTAGTTTACTCTACACTTTATATCACTTCTTCTTAACATATGCAAATAGGTATAAGCCTATTCACTAATCCAATTCAATGATAAGTAGAAAAAGGACATCAAATATGAATTATGCATACAAATAACCAGAACGTATTTGAGCGACATACAATTATCCAGGACGAAAATTCCCTAAAAATTCGTCTATTACGTGAGTGACTAGTAAATGCACAACTGCGTAAAAAAGATTGCTTCTGAGACAAAATTTCAGAGATTGGTTCTCGTCCAGGGTTCATTATTTCATTATAATTTGATTGATTGATTTATCTTTTTTACTGCTTATCAACCTTTTGAAAAATTATCTAAAGCCAGAAAATCTTTTTAGATTATAAGAGTTTTTTTTCAGGTAAAAATCAATTACTGATACAATTCCCAATTCCTACGAATTAACCATGTGAATGGGAGGTTATGAAGTGAATTCATACCTTTCCCAAGGGTATTTGCGCATAACTGACGATAGCGAACTGCACTGCTAGTGGAACTCGGCTCTCCGATTAACAATTTTGAGTCGTTATCAATTTCACCATCCGCACATCCAAGCTTACAGCCCCTGGTATTCCCAAGTATTCGTTATAATGTAATTACTTGAATGAATGAAAATATCTAGTTTGTATGACATTTCAAACCGGGCTCTCTATCTTGGCTGGCGACCAGTCTAAAAGAAAGAAAATACTGAAATTTAAAACGTGGAGATGATGAGACGAAGCCGTTCCTCTATCATTACTAAAAAGCCATGGTAATTCGTAGATAGTAAAGAAAAAAAAATTCAGTGGAGAGCCATGGTCGATTTTGTGCAGGAGAGACGTTGTATTCAAAAAAAAAAAAAAAAAACAAGCAGAGTTTCTCTCATTAGGTGATATTGAACGTAACTCATTGTAAATATAAAATCTATTTAAATAACGATTTCTCTTTCTTTAAATATTAAGTTAAAAATTAAACGATGAAAACGTCAAATATTATCAATCAATTTCATTTGTTTCGGAGAGATTTTTAATTTTGTTTTCTACCCTCCCCCCAAAAAAAAATGTATATATATAAAAGAAAAGAAAAAGAAAAATTAGAAGAAAAAAGAGAAATTTAAATCAAGGTTAGACCCTTTGTTGACAAAAGAACATTTTTCTTTCGTTTGTCGACGAAAAAATATTTAATTTCGAAACTGTTTATTTTTTGATCAGTCTAATTTTGTTTTTTAAAGTCTGCGAATTATTGATGATTATTTACAGAAAAAAAAATACAACAGACTAAGAGAATGATGATGCTGTTAAAGGGAAAAAAAATTAAGGAAGAACAAGCTATGTTTCGTCTGAGTCATTAAAAAAAACATTAATTGGGAGGGTGCCAATTTAGTGTGTCGACGTTTGTAGGCGATGCGTTATTTTTTTGAAGTGCAGTGAACGTTAAAGAATCAGCTATCAGATATTTTTAAGATGTTCTCATTTTAAAGTTAGCTATAAATACACAGACAAAAAGACACATTCATAGACACGATCTCATCTGCACGTCATTAAAATACGGTATAGAAGATAAAGATTTTACATCGATATACGCCGAAACCTAAAATACTTTTATGTATATAGACATGCGCCAGTGTAGATATGTCTGTGTTGAAGTGGTTAAAGCAAACTTCCAGATGTGAGTATAGATTCTAGACAAGACTGATATATGATAGTTCTCTTTCATTGTCTATCTGGATCCCTCAAGCACACATGCGTACGTAAACTAATTCTCCAATATGTCTTTCAGTGTTAAATTCACTGAGACCTCTTTCCTTATTATAAAGCTCGGGAATTTCAGCTGTTTCAATTCCAAGTGCAAATTTATTTCAGCTACAATTTTCTTTAAAACTTCCACGTTACTTACATGGTCTATCCATAGTATTCGCAATATCTTTCTTTAGAATCCTACCCCTGTTGCCTTAAGTTTCCTCGTCATCTGAATTGTCCAGCATTCACATCCATATAAGAGGACTGACATTATATAGCAGTTCAGTACACTTTTCCTTCTAAGCAAATTTTCCTGTCCCTTAATACTTAAATTGATCAATCTGATCAAATTCTTAGAACATCTAAACTGCACCCAATGAGTATATATATGTGTGTGTGTGTATATATATATATATATATATATATATATATATATATATATATATATATATATGTAAAAATGAGTTCAAGGCTCACTAACAAATACAGAAAACGAAGAACATATGGAAAAATTATTCCTTTTAAAAATGTATTCCTTTTATTTGCCTGAAGAAAGAC